GCTCTTGAGACATAAAAGGCCTTTTAAAGCAGAGTACCAATAAATGATAACATAAAAGAAATAACTAATTTAACTAGAGCAAGAAATATCACAAAATTAAAGACAAAATAAGTTAGAAAAATGCTTTTGAGGCCAGGCATGGTGGCTCATACCTGTAATCCCAGCACTTTGGGAGGCCAAGGCAGATGGATCATGAGGTCAGGAGTTCAAGACCAGCCTGGCCAAGATAGTGAAACCCTGTCTCTACTAAAAATACAAAAATTACCCGGGTGTGATAGCATGCACCTATAATCCCAGCTACTCAGGAGGCTGAGGCAGAAGAATCACTTGAATCCGGGATGTGGAGGCTGCAGTGAGCCGAGATCTCGCCACTGCACTCCAACCTGGGTAACAAAGCAAGACTCTGTCTCAAAAAAAAAAGAAAGAAAGAAAGAAAGAAAGAAAAATGCTTTTGGTATTTGTGACAGTCGAAGAATTAATACCCTTAATATTTTTTTAAAACGTCTTTCAAATCAATAAAGAATATCTCACTTTATAAAAAAGCCTAAGACATGAATAGGTAGCTCACAACCTGACTAAACAAAAGAATAAATCTATAACTTCCCTGAAAATCAGAGAAATACAAATTATTGTGATTCCACTTTAAATAAACAAAGATTTAAATAACTTAAAAATCCATTCTTGTTGGTATAGGAAAACAATATTCAGATACAATGTGGGTAAGAGTATAAATTGATTTCAATAAGTCAGTGTGAATAAAAATATTTTGAAACTCCAACCCTGAACTAAGTATTTATCTTATAGGAATGTATTCAAAGTATACCCATTTTCTATAGCTGCCCTAGCAAATTACCACAAACTTGGTGACTTCAAACAATAGAAGTTTATTCTCTCACAGTTCTGGAGGCCAGAAAGCCAGAATCAAGGTGTCAGCAGGGCCAAGTTCCCTCCGGTTCTAGAGGAAATTCTGTTCCTCCCTCCTCCAGCTTCTGGTAGTTGCCAGCAGGCTTGAGGCTGAATCACTCCAATCTCTACCTCCATCTTTGCAGCACCTTTTCCTCTTCCTGATCTACCTCTTCTCCCTCCATCCCTTTCTGATAAGGCTACTATCACGGAATTTACAGCCCATCTCAATATTCCAGGACAACCACATTTGCAAAGACCCTTTTTCCAAACAAGTTAATATTCACAAACTCTAGGGATTTGACACAGATATCTCTTGACGGTGGGATTTTTTTCAGCCTACCACAGGAGGTAATCATTGCAATCATTGACTCAAGATGTCATTGCAACATTATATATAATTTTAAAAATTGAAAAACTAAGGGAATAATCTAAATGTTCGATAGAAGGGTATTAAACATAAATGATGGCACATCCATCTAATGAATTAATATATAATCATTAAAAATAATGCGGATGCACATTGTTCCAGTTATTTATTGTTGCATTTTAGAATCACCCCAAATCTAGTGGCATACAGTACTAACTATTGCAGGCAAGATTGATGCTGAAATTAGCAGGTGAAAGTTGGAGAAAAAACAGGCTATTTGCATAATCTTTAAGTATCTCTCCCAAGATACATATTAATTGTAAAAGAAAAAAATAGTAATTTTATAGTGAAGAAAACCAGCAGACACCATCTTAACAAAGAGATCAAGATGAAACATTACCAGTAATAATACATAACAGCACTAGGTACATCAAGTGTGACTGAGAAGGGCACATAACTTCCAGAGTATGCTTACCAAAATTCATAACTTTCATCTAATCATGAGAAGACATCACACAAACCAAAATTGAAGGACATTTTACAAAATAGCTGACCAATACTCTCCAAAAGGGTCAACATCATGACAGACAAGGAAAGACTGAGGAACTATCATAGAGTGGAGGAGATTAAGGAGACACGACAACTAAATGTAAAATGGGATCTTGGATTGGATACTAGTAAATAAAAAGAACATCAGTGGGAAAACTGGTAACTTTTTAAGAAAGTCTATACTTTAATTAATGGTATTATACCAATGTTGATGTCTGAGTTTTGGTCACTATGGTTATGTAAGATTAGGAGATGCTGGGGGTAAGGGCATACGGAAATCTGTACTACTTATGTGCATTTTCTGTAAATTTAACATTATTTCAAAATAAAAAGTAAAAAATAAAACTTAATGGCATACAACAAATACACAGAAAATGTTCAATCTCACTAATCATTCAGGAAATATAAATTAACCACAATGAAATATCACCTCATCTCACACCTGTCAGAATGGCTATCATCAAAAACACGAAAGAGAAAGTGCTGGTGAGGATGTGGATTAAAGGAAACCCCTGCATTCTATTGGTGGGAATGTAAATTAGTACAGCCATTATGGAAAAGTGTATGGAGGATCCTTAGAAAACTAAAAAGAGAATTACCATATGATCCAGAAATCCCACTTCTGGGCATTTACCCAAAAGCTTTGAAATTAGTTTGTCAAAGAGATGTCTGCTCTCCCATGCTCACTACTCACAATAGCCAAGTTACAGAATAACCTAAGCATCCACCAACAGATGAACGGATAAAGAAAATGTAGTGTATATACACCATGGAATACTTTTCAGTCTTTAAAAAGAAGGAAATTCTATCATTTGCAACAACATGAATGCAAACAGAGGACTTTATGCCAAGCAAAATAAACCAGACGCAAAAAGACAAATACTGCATGTTCCCATTTGTATGTGGAATCCAAAACAATTGTACTCATAGAAGCAGAGTAGAATGGTGGTTACCAGAGGCTGGAGGATGGGAAATGAGAAAATAATGGCCAAAGAGTACAAAGTCTCAGTTAGACAGGAGAAATAAGGGTTTTTCTTTGAGATCTACTGCATGGTGTAGTGAATATCATCAATAATGATGTACTGTGCATTTCAAAATTGTGAAGAGACTAGATTTCAAATGGTCTAACCATAAAAGATGTTAAGTATTTGAGGTGATGGATAGGCTAATTAGCTTAAGTATTCTATATTGCATTCATAAATCATAATATCACTTTGTATCCCATAAATAGTCAATTTACAATAAAAAAAAATTTTAAGTTAGTGGCATAAAACAGTGAACATTTTATTATGCTCATGCTTCTGTGGGTCAGGAATTTGAGGGACACAGCAGGAACAATTTATCTCTGCTCCACCATGAATGGGGCCTCAGATGGCTGGGTAGCTCCCTTTGGCTGGAGATGCTTAGAGTAGGTCAGGGGTCCATATGTCTAGCCCTGGTTATTCTCTGCATTGTTTGGTGGAGCTGAAATGTCCAGGCTTGCTGCTTTATTCTGTCTCTGCATTGAAACTGTTGAATAGTCAGTGTATTGGTTTCCTAGGGCTGCTATAACAATTTACCACAGGCTGGGTAGCTGAAAACAACTGAAATTTATTCTCTACAGTTCTAGAAGCTAGATATCTGAAATCAAGGTGTCCTCTGTCTTCCTAGCTTCTTCTGGCTTCCAGGAATCCTTTCATTCCTTGGCTTATACTTATATCTCTGTCTTCACACAGCCTTCTTCCTGTGTCTGTCTCTTTGTGTCCTCTCCTCTTTTTTTAAGGCCCACCCTATTCCAATAAGACTTTATCTTAACTAAATCTCTGCAAAGACCCTATTTCCAAATAAAGACACATTCTGAGGTTCCAAGTGGACATGAATTTGAGAGAGACATCACCAACATCACTGCAGCCAGGAGCTAGCCAGTGTCATCTTCTCTCTGCATAGCCCCTCCATATTGCTTGCCTGGACTTTCTCACAGCAGGGCAGCCTCGAGTGGCCTGACCTCTTACACAATGGCTGCCGTTCCTCTAAGTGAGCATTTTAAGAGAAAGCAGAAACTGCCTGTTTTCTTAAAGACAAGGCCCAGAAATGGCATAGTATCACTTCTGCTGTAATATATCAATCAAAGTTGTTTCAGGCTAGCCAAGACTGAAATGGGAGTGAGAAATGGACTCCATCTCTAAATGAGGAAGAGAATGGACATACATAAAGCAAAGGAGCTAATGGCAGCCATTCGGAAACAAAGTACCACACACATCTGTTATTGACAGTGAAAGGGGCTCATGAAACACAACTGAGTGGGGAAAAGGTTACAAAACACCATATACATATATAATTTGATCATATTTTTATTCTCAAAATATATACATGGATATTTGTATTAAACACATCTCAAAAGATAAAGAGTAAACTAAAAGATTAATAGTGGTTATCTCTACAAGTTGAGAATGTAGCTGATAGTAATTTTTTTTGTTTAACCAATATTTTCTAACATACAGTACACACGTGTTACTTCTGTAAAACACAAGATGCAAAAAGTAAATGATCTATGAATTTAATATAGGCCAGACTATATTATATTTTGATGTTTCAACTAGGATATACAAAAATACAAAATGTTTCTAATCCCTAAAATTTTCACCATTATGTAAGTGGCTTAAAGGTTACATAACTCCATAAAATGTCTGTATTCAAAAAAGAAGATTCACAAATATACATACAAACAAAGGAGAAAGGTAGAAATAAATGTGTGGAATTGGCTCATGTCAAAAAATAAAACCATGAAAGACCAGGAAATAGGACAAATCAGTCATGAATTTTAACAAAAGGAGTTTGGCAGGTCTGAGTGACACCCTGTGAGAGGATAGTAAGCAGTTAGGGGATTATACGCAGAAAGTGGGGTCTAGAGACACCGAAAAGAGACAGGAAGTAAAGGCAATGACACACTTTTGTCAATTTCCCAGTTTGTCCCAGCCCTATTCCCCTCACCGTCAAGCAGACACAAACGCTTAAAGACAATGAAATATACGTAAACTCAGAGTCGTTTCATATAGTCCTACTTAATGTGATCGACTATTTCCCTAAAGAACAAACTCATAAGGAACAGGACAGAAAAAATGAATTTGGAATTTTACTTAATCTAAATATTCTATGACTCAGATAAAAACAAAGTTGAATGACATCTCTTTCTACTCACCAACAGTTTCTTCAGACACAGCAGTCAAAGATAAAAATGTTTTTGTATTTTCCAGCTCCTCTTTACTTTGCCAAGCTTCACTATATTTTGCAGACTAATGGAAGAAAAACTAAAATTTAAACACGGGAAAAGAAGGCAGCTATAATCATTGATTTTTTAAATTCCAACACGGTTCCCAATCTCACATATAAACAAGAAGTCTCAGGCTATTTTTTTTTTTGAAGAAATCTGTAAATGTTCCCTGTTCTCACAAAATTCCGTCAACGAGTATTCCCAGATAGAGCTGGAGTATATGTCCGTCATTATATGATAATTACCTTGCTTAAAGTATTGTAAGTTTCCACTTGATATTTTTAGAATTAATGAGTAGCCTAAAGATAAACCATCAAATTTAAAATGTTCAGACATTTCAAGATTGTTACTATATTTTATTATGTTTCCATTTATAATTATTGTTTCAAAGGAAATAAAAACTTGCTTTAAGATTCAATAGGAAAAAGCAATAGGCTAACTTTTTCTGCTAAAATTTCCAGAAACAATTGTTCTAGTTTAAAGTATTGCATTTTGGATGTTTCTTTCTTTCCATCCCAATGGTATTCCTGGGAACCTTATAAAAATGTATTTTTAATTACCACATTTTTATTTTATATTATTGCCTAGGCAATTTTCCCAGAAGTCAGTCAACTTTTTAAGGGGGGCTTTATCAAAAATGACCCATCTCTTATTGCAAGGTTCCTTACCTGAAAGGTACCCTCCTTTGAGGGTCAAAATTCAAATATGAGCCAACGGCTATACACCAAGTCAATGCCAATGTCTAGTCAACTTCAAGCCCTCAATATTATAGGGAATAAGAGGTCCAAGAAGGCCAAGGAAAGTTAATTGAGTACCAGGAATTTGTTGAGACAGAAGCAAATCAGGTACGGTCCCAGACCTCAAGCACTTTACAGCTTCCCAAAGATCTTAGACCAGCACATGAAACACTCAACTCCCCAAAACTTGTTTGTCACAAAGGTTTACCCAAATAATAAAGCTAACCAGAGGGTTCAACTTTGTCTATTTATCTTCAAACTATAAGGCTGCTGAAGAAAAAGCAGACATACACATACTTAATGAAAGCATCTATTACACCTCTTCCTGTTCCAGAGATGGAGGAGCCCAGTACTTTATCAGCCTGGTGCTGGTAAGAGAGGTACCCTGGGTCTGTCCCTGGAGAAAGGAACACGCCATTGCAGTGCTTGAAATGTGGATGCTGCAGACCAAGTTTTCTTCTCAGGTTCCAGAAAAATATCACCCCTGCAACTCCTTCACATACACACTTATACGTACCAATGCCACTACCTCCACAAAATAAAGCAATAAAGGCAGGCCACAGTAACACTACCATGGTCCATGATTTTCTTACCCATCTTAGAAGAAATTCTTTTTCTTATTTTTTGAGGGTCTCGCTCTGTCAGCCAGGCTAGAGTGCAGTGACGTGATCATAGCTCACTGCGCAGCCTTGAACCCCTGGGCTCAAGGGCTCTGCCGACCTCCCAAGTAGCTAGGGTGACAAGCATGCGCTACCATCCCTGCTAATTTTCTAAATTTTTTTGTACACATGGGATCTCTTTATGTTGCCCAGGCTAGTCTCAAACTCCTGGCCTCAAGCAATCCTTCTGCCTCAATCTCCCTAAGTGCTGGGATTACAGGGGTGAGCTACCATGTCCAGCCAGGAGAAACAGTTTCTTACATGTCAGCATAAGGTTAGACAGTTCTTACCTTGAGTTCTTCCCACAGCTTTATTCTCATTTCTAGGCCTTGCTTCTTAATTTCTTTTTCTCTGTGTTGTCTCTTTGCCAGTATTTTATCAAGTCTCCTCATTTTCTGAATGGCGTCTTGAAGTTGAGAATCTAATTCTTTTAATTTGGGTTCATCTATATTGTGTTGAAAGTGAAAATAGGTTGGAAGTATAGTAAAACTATAAAGTTTTGTTCTGTTCTTACAATTTGTTCTTTTATTCAACAAATATTTAAAGCTGATAGTAATAACTACTATATTGCTACCATGTATCTAGATTTATGAGGTGCTTTCACATGTACTTATATAATTAACTAAGAACCCTATGAAATAGACCTTTATCTCTACAGGTGAGACAACTGGGTCCTTTCAAATAGGTAATAAATTATAGCATTGGACTCAGAAGTGATTCTTATGATTTTAAATCGCAAATTCTTTCTCCTTTGTTCTGTTATACTTTCTATATTAATGACTAAGAAACAGGAAATAAGGAGTAAGACAGGAATCCTGTCCTAAGGCTGCTTCAGACTAACTGAAAGAGAAGGTGTGTACACAAATGCTACAGCAAAAGGCCGTTATGTCTTCAGTGACACAAAGCGGTTGCAACATATAGAAGAAACAAACAAACAAGTACTCTATGTAGCTAGATAATCCTTTTTCTATACTGCTTCCTTTATTCTAATTTCTTTAAGTACTTAAAAAGGTCTTGAATTGTAGATAATTGATAGTGACTTATTTAAAATTAAGGCCTCTTTAAAACTTCTGTCATTAACTTATAATTAATGATAATAACTAACATTTATAGAGTTACCTGACAGGCACAGTTTTAAGGGCTTTATTTAATTGCATTATATCATCTAATGCTCATATTAACCCATTAACCCTCTAAGGTGGTATAATCAATTTTACAAATTGGTAAACTGAAGCTAATTTGTAACTGAGTTACATGTATGTCCCAGGTGATATAACTGGTTAATGGCAGTCAGGGTCCACTCAAATCTGTCTGACTGCAGAGCCAAAGCCCTCAGCCCCTTAGCTGCAGATGATAATCTCTCTGTTTAAATCTGATGAAAACTGATGATCCAGCAATGAGCAGGAATGCTCAAATAGCTTCTAAGTCTCAGCCACCCCAGGTTAGATCATTAGAAGTGGCATATCGTGCTAAGTAAGGCCAAATTTAGCAACTTTTGAAAACCCAAAGAGTTCAGTGATGTTCATCACTGAATGTACATCACTTCTTTTATTTATTTTTTTTTTTTAAGAGACGGGATCTCATTCTGTCACTCAGGCTGAAATGTAGTGGTGTGATCAGGGCTCACTGCAACCTCGAACTCCTGGGTTCAAGCAAGCCTCCTGCATCAGCCCCCAAATAGCCAGGGCCAGGACTATAGGCACATGCCACCATACCTGGCTAATTTTTTTAAAAAAATTTTGTAGAGATGGAGTCTCACTATGCTTCCCAGGCTGGTTTTAAACTCCTGGGCTCAGGTGATACTCATGCCTGGGCCTCCCAAATGCAGGGATTACAGGTATGAGCTACTACTCCCAGCTCCATCATTTCCTCTTAAAGGAAAAACAGAAAGAGGGCATCAACTTATCCAAAAAGTATACTGATATTATTAATAAGGATATTCCTTGAATATTATTGTGTACGTAGTTCAAAAGCAACATCTTCCAGTTCTTATTCCCAGCTGCCAATCCTAGCATTCTCAGACTCTGAACAGAGGTAGTCTATATAGCAGGCATTTTGAAGTAACTCATGCAGTACTAAAACAATATAAACAAATGAAATAATAAACTGTGTCAACGGCTAATTTCATTTATAATATATTTGACAAAGGAAGGGTACAGGAAAATGCTGGGTAGAGAAAGATAGGGTTCCTGGCGGGGTTCCATCCTTGGGCCTCTGTCCACGGACTTCAGTGAGAACAGGCACTCCTATTTTCAAGCTCAAATGTTGCATTCTCTAAGACCACTCTGGTCTGCCATTCCCCGATCCTGTGCCCATATAAACCTGAGACCTTAAGCATACACGACAGAAGTGGCTGGATGTTGAGAGGAGCAAAGGCACACACCAGCAGACACCGGCAAAGCAGTGAAGGTGGAACGATGCAGATCCCAAGGGCAGCAAGAGACAGTCGGAGGAGATTTCAATCACTGGGCAGCCTGACTCCAGGGGAAGACCACCCTTCCCACTCCATCCCCCTTCCAGCTGCCCATCCATCTCACTGAGAGCTACCTCCACCACTCAATAAAACCTTGCACTCATCCTCCAAGCCAACATGTGATTTGATTTTTCCAGTAGACCAGGGTAAGAACCTAGGATACAGAAAGCCCTCTGCCCTTGTGATAAGGCAGAGGGTCTAATTGAACTGATTAACACAAGCTGCCAGCAGACGGCAAAACTGAGGGCGCACTGTAACACACGCCCACCTGGGCTTCGGGAGTTGTAAACATTCACCCCCAGACGTTGCCATGGGGTCAGAGCCCAAAAGCAACCCCCGTGGCCTCTGCACCTGCCTGTCTGCCTGCCCCCTCTAGGGGTTTCAGCAGAGGGGCAATGAAGAAGTGAGTCACACCCCTGTCGCGTGACCTGCAAGGGAGGTAAAGGAACTCTCCTGTTTCACCTTGTTTCCTGATAACTATAATCCTGAGTCACTTGACCTAACAGTGAGAGCCGATCTCATACCAAACATACTCTAAATCACAGCTCTCAAACTTTTTCTCAGCTCCCCTTTACAGTCTCAAAAATTATTGAGAACCCATAGTAACTTTTCGTATGTTGGTTATAGGTATTGGTAATGAACATATTAGAAATCAACACTGAAAAGTATTGTAAACATTATTAACTATCAAAAAATAAAAAAACATGCAGTTACTAACTATGTTAACATAAGTATCACATTTTATGACAAATACTACATTCACAAAAAACTTGTGAAAAGATTGGTATTGTTTAAATTTGTAATATCTGGATGAAGGGAAGAAAGCAGGATTCTCACATCTACTTCTACAGTCATTCTACTGCAGTCTGTTGTTTTGGTTGAAGTATATGCAGAAAATTGGCCTCACACAGATACATGGTTAGAATAGGAAGAAGAATCTTAATAGCCTATTCAGATAATTAGACTTTGATACTAAACCAAAACTTAACAGGGGTAGTTTCTTACAGGCTAAGTGAAATCTGCAACCAAATCAGTGAGCTTTATTTGTTCCATTAAAATCCATGAGTCTGTATTTCATGTTGAATGGATCTTTTATCCGACATTGATCATTTGGAAAATAGTGGTTACCTAAATTATACAGAGCTTCAAAATGTTAAGACATTTCATTACACAATGGCATTAGTTAATAATGCCACCAATTTTTTTAAGAAAAGTCTAAGTATTGGGAAGCTATCAAGCTCACAGTGACATATGCAGTTTTCCCAAACTAATTTTCACTCAAAAGCTCAAATTTTACCATTGGAAACAAATACCATCAGTAGTTATCCTCAAAATAACATGTTTTTTTTGTTTTTTTTTTTTTTTTTTTTAGACGGAGTTTCGCTCTTGTTACCCAGGCTGGAGTGCAATGGCGCAATCTCGGCTCACCGCAACCTCCGCCTCCTGGGTTCAGGCAATTCTCCTGCCTCAGCCTCCTGAGTAGCTGGGATTACAGGCATGCGCCACCATGCCCAGCTGATTTTTTGTAGTTTTAGTAGAGACGGGGTTTCACCATGTTGACCAGGATGGTCTCGATCTCTTGACCTCATGATCCACCCGCCTCGGCCTCCCAAAGTACTGGGATTACAGGCGTGAGCCACCGCGCCCGGCCATTTTCTTAAAAAGAAGTCTAGATTCCTGGGGAGGACTGCCGGTCGTTCGGACGTTTCGCTTGTCGCTGAAGGAGAGGTCCGCGCTCTCCGGGAAGGCGGCTGCGGCGACAAGATGAAGATATCAGTGGGCAATGTCGACGGGGCGGATACGACTCCAGAGGAGCTGGCAGCCCTCTTTGCGCCCTACGGCACGGTCATGAGCTGCGCCGTCATGAAACAGTTCGCCTTCGTGCACATGCGCGAGAACGCGGGCGCGCTGCGCGCAATTGAAGCCTTGCATGGCCACGAGCTGCGGCCGGGGCGCGCGCTCATGGTGGAGATGTCGCGCCCAAGGCCTCTTAATACTTGGAAGATTTTCGTGGGCAATGTGTCGGCTGCATGCACGAGCCAGGAACTGCACAGCCTCTTCGAGCGCCGCGGACGCGTCATCGAGTGTGACGTGGTGAAAGACTACACGTTTGTTCACATGGAGAAGGAAGCAGATGCCAAAGCCGCAATCGCGCAGCTCAACGGTAAAGAAGTGAAGGGCAAGCGCATCAACGTGGAACTCTCCACCAAGGGTCAGAAGAAGGGGCCTGACCTGGCTATCCAGTCTGGGGACAAGACCAAGAAACCAGGGGCTGGGGATACGGCCTTCCCTGGAACTGGTGGCTTCTCTGCCACCTTCGACTACCAGCAGGCTTTTGGCAACAGCACTGGTGGCTTTGATGGGCAAGCTCGTCAGCCCACACCACCCTTCTTTGGTCGCGACCGCAGCCCCCTGCGCCGTTCACCTCCCCGAGCCTCTTATGTGGCTCCTCTGACGGCCCAGCCAGCTACCTACCGGGCCCAGCCATCAGTGTCACTGGGAGCTGCCTACAGGGCCCAGCCTTCTGCCTCTTTGGGTGTTGGCTATCAGACTCAGCCCATGACAGCCCAGGCAGCCTCTTACCGCGCTCAGGCCTCTGTCTCCCTTGGGGCCCCATACAGGGGTCAGCTGGCTAGTCCTAGCTCCCAGTCTGCTGCAGCTTCCTCACTCGGCCCATATGGTGGAGCCCAGCCCTCGGCCTCGGCCCTTTCTTCCTACAGGGGTCAGGCAGCTGCGGCTTCTTCGCTCAACTCCTGTGGGGCTCAGGGTTCCTCCCTTGCCTCCTATGGTAACCAGCCATCCTCTTACGGCACCCAGGCTGCCTCTTCCTATGGGGTTCGTGCAGGTGCTTCTTCCTACAACACCCAGGGAGCAGCTTCCTCCTTAGGCTCCTATGGGGCTCAGGCAGCCTCCTATGGGGCTCAGTCTGCAGCCTCCTCACTAGCTTATGGAGCCCAGGCAGCTTCTTACAATGCCCAGCCCTCGGCCTCTTACAATGCCCAGTCTGCCCCATATGCTGCACAGCAGGCTGCTTCCTACTCTTCTCAACCTGCTGCCTATGTGGCACAGCCAGCCACAGCTGCCACCTATGCCAGTCAGCCAGCAGCCTATGCTGCACAAGCCACTACCCCAATGGCTGGCTCCTATGGGGCCCAGCCGGTTGTCTAGACCCAGCTGAATAGTTACGGGGCCCAAGCATCAATGGGCCTCTCAGGCTCCTATGGGGCTCAGTCGGCTGCTGCGGCCACTGGCTCCTATGGTGCCGCAGCTGCCTATGGGGCCCAACCTTCTGCCACCCTGGCAGCTCCTTACCGCACACAGTCATCAGCCTCATTGGCTGCTTCCTATGCTGCCCAGCAGCATCCCCAGGCTGCTGCCTCCTACCGCGGCCAGCCAGGCAATGCCTACGACGGGGCAGGTCAGCCGTCTGCAGCCTACCTGTCCATGTCCCAGGGGGCCGTTGCCAACGCCAACAGCACCCCGCCGCCCTATGAGCGTACCCGCCTCTCCCCACCCCGGGCCAGCTACGACGATCCCTACAAAAAGGCTGTCACCATGTCGAAAAGGTATGGTTCCGACCGGCGTTTAGCCGAGCTCTCTGATTACCGCCGTTTATCAGAGTCGCAGCTTTCGTTCCACCGCTCGCCGACAAAGTCCTCGCTGGATTACCGTCGCCTGCCCGATGCCCATTCTGATTACCCACGCTATTCGGGCTCCTATAATGATTACCTGCGGGCGGCTCAGATGCACTCTGGCTACCAGCGCCGCATGTAGGGCCATCCTGGGATGGGGCACCACAGGGAGGGAGGGAGAAAAGAGGGGGGTAGGGTACAGACCCAGGTTATAACTACTCTGGCCCATACCTTTCCTGGTTGCGGTTTTTCATCCCCTCTACCATTTGGGCCTTCCCCAGGAGATGATCATTTTGAGTGTTTGACAGTAATCTACTTTGTTCCTTCGCCTCAGCAGCAAATCTTGCTACTGGCTCTAGATCTGCGGTTTCCCCTCTACCCTGCTTCCGATCTCCCATAAAAGAATGGGAATTTCTTTAAAAAAAAAAAAAAAAAGAAGTCTACCAAATACCCATCTGAATAATTGTTTTTTTGTCAACCATTCTTTCAAGTAAATACGGTGTTCCACTAAAAAAGTGGCCAGTTCAGCTGTCAACTCCAACTATCACAAAAGTACTTTTCTTCAACACAAGCTTTGGTGTACAGCAGAATTGCTTTATGTATGCTTCCTATTGTACCCCACAGGATGCTCAGAAGATGCATATTTAAGGGTCAAAATTTAATAAAACTGTTATTTTTTATTGATTCATAGCCACTGACACTGCCTATTTCTTTTTGCAGCCAGTGCCTGGTTGCAAAGAACACAAGGACTACTGGTACATTTTGGTGCCATTGTACTGATTTATGCTAAGGCACCAGCAATTTTGCCCATCATTACTTTTATACCATCAGGCAAATGTCAGTATGGTGGACACAAAGGCAAATAGCACCTCAGTGATACTATGAAAACAGCTTTTACCTTGCAGAGCCCCTGCAAGGGTCTCAGGGATACCATTTCCTACCATACTCCCAGGGCTCTGCAGACTACTTTTTGAAAAGTACTATTCTAATGCAATCTGACTACAATTAATTTGCCAACATAAAAAAATGGCATCTTTCACAATCCAAATGTTATTGGGTGGGACTGTCCCTACAAATTATAGGATATATTTTATTGTACAATTTTCGTCATTAAAAAAAATAATAAATCATGCTATGAAATGCAGAACTAATCCCTACTTGATTAATGTAGGGATTAACCACATTGTTGATAACCACAACAACTATTTTATTAAATGACATATTTTATAATATTTCTAATATAATATATGATATTTAAGGCCTCTTAATATTCTTATAAATAAAAAGTGATGGCCTGCTCACAAATAGTATATGTCTTTTTTTGGTTTATTATTTCTACTTAGCTGGTAAAAACACAAGTAATGCTAACACCTTAAATATAACATTTGTAATTATCATTAACATTTGTAATTATCATGAGGCAATCACCTAGTGATTATCCTACCTGAACACTCAGTGATTATCTGATGTTGAACCAAATCAAGATCTTCATCTGATCCCTCTTCGGCCAACTGTATTTTCTCAGAGTGGTTTTCCCCCTTATCATCATCACTAGTTCTTCTGTTCTCTGTACTACTGCTTTCGGAGTGGTTCTCTTTACCAGAGTTCAAGCTGCTTACAGTATCAACCTAAAAATAATTTCCAAAAAAAAGGTTTCCAAAAATTCTGCATTTTTTTAAACGTTATGTTTCTAGAATATTTTGACACTAATGGAAAGCAGATGGAGAATGTATGTAAATATATACACTAGCATTAAAGTATTCTAGAAATATACCACTCTAATTAAATGCAATTTAACGACACAATTCCATGTAGTAAGATTTGCACCATTCTCCAGCAACCCCCAGCAATAATGGAGAAGAGTCTACATCAGTCCCGAAGGGGCCTGCTATCTGCCAGGCTCTGGGGTAAGGCACAACGGGCCCTGCTCCTTGAGCTTACACTGGGATGGACGGTAAAAGGTCTAAGGCTGTGCTGTCCAATATGACAGCCACTTGCCACATGTGGCTACAGAGTGATTGAAAAGTGGCTAGTCTGAGTTGAGATGTAGTTTCTGGAGAGAGTCTCCTATTCAGAATTCTGTGCTTTGGTCATTTATTTATTTTTATGTTATTCACAGTTTTTCTATTTCATTTTAGTTTCCCTTTACATTTTAGCAAAGTTCATTTTGAAAACACCAGTTGACACAGCTGTGTTTTCCTAAGAGAGAATAAAAAAGGACTTCCATGACCGGGTGAGGGAAAAACAGATCACAGGCCCTGGGGTTTATAAACTGTGATGAGAATCACTTCAGAAGTTAACACAGCCCAAGGGAGAGAGGCAAGACCTCAGAGAGTCAGCCCCTTCTCAGAGGAGTACCTTTCCCCTCCCAGCAGAGAGACTGTCTCCTCCAGCCCATCTGCTCTCAGGCCTCTGTAGGTTTTGTGTTCTCTCTGCACCACATGCTCAACTCTCTACCACGTGCTCAACTCTCTACCACAATCTGCAGTCCCCTAGTGAATACCCAGGGCAGAAGACGGGCAGTGAATGAAACTGCCGGGAATGCAGGTCTGCATGAGCATCTCCCTGCCTGAGCCAGGACATACACCCAGCGGAACTGAGCTGACTCAGTGGTAATAATCATAGCCACCATTTACTGAAGAATTATTATCAGTCATGGCCTGCCTCGTTCACTTCTCACAATGCTCCTATGGTGTAAGTTTCACTACTATGAATTAACGGAGAAGAAAACAGACCCAGCAGAGAACAAAACCAGTCAAAGCCCAATTTACAAATAAGCAAAACAGTGTTGTAATCTGGGAGGTGGTTAAACAGGGTTCCCTGTTCAAAAACATATTTCTGCCAAAGACCAGAAAAAGAGTGGAATTCACTCTGGCATTCTAAACAGCATGGTACTAGTACCAAAACAGACATGCAGACCACTGGAACAGAACAGAGGCCTGAGAAATAATGCCACACATCTACAACCATCTGATCTTTGACAAACCTGAGAAAAACAAGCAATGGGGAAAGTATTCCCTATTTAATAAATGGTGTTGGGAAAACTGGCTAGCCTACACAGAAAGCTGAAACTGGACCCCTTCCTTATACCTTATAAAAAAATTAACTCAAGATGGATTAAAGATTTAAACATAAGACCTAACACCATAAAAACCCTAAAAGAAAACGTAGGCAATACCATTCAGGACATAGGCATGGGCAAGGACTTCATGACTAAAACACCAAAAGTAATGGCAACAAAAGCCAAAATAGACAAATGGGATGATCTAATTAAACTAAGGAGCTTCTGCACAGCAAAAGAAACTATCATTAGCATGAACCGGTAACCAAAGATAATGGGAAAAAAATTTTTGCAATCTACCCATTTGACAAAGGGCTAATATTCAGAATCTACAAAGAATTTAAATTTACAAGAAAAAAGCAACCAACCATATCAAAAAGTGGGCAAAGGATATGAACAGACACCTCTCAAAAGAAGACATTTATGTGGACAACAAACATATCATCATCACTGGTCATTAGAGAAATGCAAATCAAAACCACACTGAGATACCATCTCACGCCAGTTAGAATGGCAATCATTAAAAAATCAAGAGACAACAGATGCTGGAGAGGATGTGGAGAAACAGGAACACTTTTACACTGTTGGTGGGAGTGTAAATTAGTTCCACCATTGTGGAAGACAGTGTGGTGATTCCTTAAGGATCTAGAAATAGAAATTCCATTTGACCCAGCAATCCCATTACTGGGTATATATCCAAAGTATTATAAATCATTCTGTTATAAAGACACATGCACACGTATGTTTATTGTGTCACTGTTCACAATAACAAAGACTTGGAACCAACCCAAATGCCCATCAATGATAGACTGAATAAAGAAAATGTGGCACATATACACCATGGAATACTAAGCAGCCATAAAAAAGGATGAGTTCATGTTCTTTGCAGGGACATGGATAAAGCTGGAAACCATTCCCAGCAAACTGACACAAGATCAGAAAACCAAACACTGCATGTTCTCACTCATAAGTGTGTGTTGAGCAATGAGACACATGGACACAGGGAGAGGAACATCGCACACCGGGGCCTGTCAGGGGCTGGGGGACTAGAAGAGGAATAGCAGGGGGTTGGGAGAGGATACGGGAGGGATAGCATTAGCAGAAATACCTAATGTAGATGACAGGGTGATGGATGCAGCAAACCACTGTGGCACATGTATACCTATATAACAAGCCTGCACATTCTACACATGTACCTCAAAACTTAAAGTATTAAAAAAAAAAAAAAAACCCTGGAATTCCACAATATCCAGTTAATCCTTAAGGCCTTCTGTTGTGTGAAAAAGCTAACATTTCTGGGAGAAATCACACAACTTCTGTCCGTCATTTATATTAGTATAAACGAACTTAGCAGAACTTCCTTTGAGGCTGAGTTTCACATGGGGGAATAAATAATATACAAAAGATAATTAGATGGATAGCACACTTCAGGGTACCCCCAGACCTTTCACACCCATCATCTCATATGATCCTAACTCAGAAAGAGCAGAAGGTAATGAGGCACAAAGGCAAAACTGGAGAACAAGGCAAATTTCACAAATGTTCCCATAGTTTCCCACCCCTCTAGCTACCAGCTATCGTCCCCATCCCATTGCCCACTGGCCTCGCTGTTCCTAACCCCTTGCTCTTCTGTCTTGTGGCCTATGTATATGATTTTTCTCTTTTCCTCATTCTTAACAACACATCTCACCTCCACCAAGACTGGAGTGCAGTGACATGATCACAGCTCACTGCAGCTTCAACCTCCTGGGCTAAAGCAGTCCTCCCACCTCAGCCTCCCCGACTAGCTGGGACCACAGGGAGGCACGACCACACCCAGCTAATTTTTGTATTTTTTAATAGAAATGGGCTTTCACCATGTTGGCCAAACTGATCTCAAACTCCTGACCTCGGGTTATCTGCGTGCCTCAGCCTCCCACAGTGCTAGGGTTATAGGCATGAGACACCACGCGCAGCCCCACCTCCATTTTTCATGGCTCCACATCCCCCACTCTATCCCTTCATCTTCATCCCAGGAAATGCAAATATCTCATGAAAACCCTTCTTAATATTTAGATTCCTACTTGAAACCCATGAGATTTTTACACAAAATACAACTATTGGCTCTTTAAAAAAAAAATTCATAAGTAACAAAAAGCTAAACTTTTTAGAATGAGAAATATATTATCACTAAATACATGTCACTAAAACGCTAATATGTGAAGCTTATTTTCTGCTGTGAAAAAAAAAATCTTTGGTAAGAATTTAATAAAAGACAAACCTGAGCAATAAAACTAACCAACACACCAAGATTTATTAGTCAAATAATATGTAAGGTTTTCCAGACGTTGAATAATTTTCAATCAGCAGTCAGCATACAATATATTTGTAGCTTTCTTGCCCAGCCTAAAGTGAACCTTACTAATTATCTATGAACTTGATTAACACAAACCACAACTTTGAAAACTTTGCTTTCAATATAAGTCTCAAAGTCCATATCGGCTAATAAATATTCTAAATTTTCATCTGTAGCTTAGCAGGTTACAATAAAATCTGATTTTACATGATCACTGATATTCTGCTTCTAATAAGTCTTGAATGAAGTAATATTAATCTGTGTATTAAAACATGTATAAGTATCAATATCATGAAGCTGCTGCTTAAAAAACTGTCACCCAGAAATAGACAAGCAGGAATACTAATTCTATGCTACTCTAACATTTGAAGCCTGGGCAATATAGTGAGATCCTTGTCTCTATTTAAAATTTTTTAAAAAGAAAATTAGCCACATGTATTAACACAGATGAATCTCAAATGCATTACATATACTAGGAAATAAAAGTCAGAGCAAAAAGATACATACTGTATGATTCTGAGGGAATGTGTTCTCTTTCCAGGTCCATGAGGGGGTGTAGTTTTAAGGGCAAGAGTTTCCCAGCGCTATGCCCCTCTCCCATCTCTCTCCATCTGGGAGATTTAATGGTTTATGTGTGAATTTCACGGGCAAGGGAAGAAACTAAGAGTCAATCACCCCAGCGGAAGTTTAAAGGAACTCCTTTCATTGGCCAGAGGAACTTGGGAAGGTGGGAATTTCTCCCAGGATAAATTCCCCTCCTCCTTCACCCACACCGGATTTCCACCTCTCTGGAATTCCCTCCCACATGGTAGGCGTTCCCTTTCCCCTCTGGGATTTCCCCTCTGGAATCCCCTTCCACACTCTTCGTGGAAGTCTTTCTCTTCTTCTCTTTTCTCTACCTAAATAAAATCACCTTTCTTACTGTGGCCTCAACCTCCAGGGCTAAAGCAGTCATCCCACCTCAGCCTCCCCAACTAGCTGGGACCACAGAGGTGCATCACCACACCCAACAACTTCTTGGGTCCAATATTTACTTTTACGAGTGTACGGTGCACCTGCAGTGGTCCCATCGCTTCTTCTTTAAGAGACTGGAGACCAAGAACCCACAGCATTCTCTCAGGGTAGCCATGCCTCACCAGCACCCAAGAAAAAAACCCAGTTGCAATTCTATTTATACAACCTGCTGGAAAAGGAAAAAGAAAAGGAACAGAGAATAGATCACTAATTGTAAGGGATTAAGAGTGGCATGGGATTGTTTGCAAAGGAATAGAATGAAAAATGTTTTGAGGGATGATGGAACTGTTCTATATCCTGATGGTAATGGTAGTTATATCACTCAATCTATTTGCCAAAACTCACATAACTATACACCAAAAAGTGAATTTTACTGTATGTGAATTTTTTTAACTAAAAACTAAAAGTTAATAGATCAATTGAGACACAATATTAATACATGGGAAGATTTAATATCACAAAGTTAAAAATTCTCCCCAAATTAATCTGTAAAAAGCAATTTCAATCAAAACCCCAACCAGATTTTTCAGAACTTAAAAAACTGATCTAAAGTACACATAGGCCAGTTGCAGTGGCTCATGCCTCTAATCCCAGCACTTTGGGAGGCCAAGACATGCGAATCATCTGAGGTCAGGAGTTCAAGACTAGCCTGGCCAACAAGGTGAAAACCTGTATCTACTAAAAATAGAATAATTAGGTGGCCTTATGGGTGTGTGCCTGTAGTCTCAGTCTCAGCTACTCGGGTGGCTGAGACAAGAGAATCACTTGAACCCGGGAGGCAGAGGTTGCAGTGAGCCGAGATCACGCCATTGCACTCCAGCCTGGGCAACAGAGTGAGACTCCATCTCAAAAAATAAAAAAGAAATAAATACATATAGAAGAGCAAAAAGCCAAGGATAGTTAAAAAGAGTCTGGAAAAAAAATAATATGGAAGAGCCACCCTATCAGAGATAGTAATTATTATAAAGCTATAAGAATTAACACACCATATAGTAATGATGCAGGACTAGATGAAACAAAACTGTATTTTGCACAAAGTCACTTACATCTAGGGCTCTGGACATATATTAGGATAGTCTAATTAGATGAACCTGTACAAGATTTAGAAAGCAGATTTGAGGTAGAAGCATCTTCCTAAGTTCCTGATAGGAAGTTGGCAGAAAAATATCAAAGGCAGCCATCTCTGCATGTCTAGTCACCAGCTTCGCGGTTCTGAGGGACTTGTGGCTGTAGCAGAAGCAGCAGCAGCAGCTTTCTGAATTCTGGATTACAGCTATGGTGGTATGACCTGAGAACCTATAATCCAGAGAATGCCGCCTCCCTGAACACCCTTTCCTTCTGGTCTTCTGTTGATTTTGAGGTCTTCTGTTGATTCTGAAGAACTAAACTCTTTTTTGCAATGGAGGGGAAGGGGAACACAGCCTCGCTCTGTCACCCAGGCTGCAGTGCAGTGACACAATCATAGCTCACTGCAGCCTTAAACTCCTGAGATCAAGCTAGCCTCCTGCCCCAGCCTCTCAAGTAGCTGGGACTACAAGCATGTGCCACCATGTCCTGCTAATTTTTAAATATTTTTGTAGAGTTAGGGTCTTACAATATTGCCCAGGCTTTAACTCTTGTATTCAATCTTTTTCTGATTAAAATACCTAGAGTGCTATTCCTGAACCACATCATGACAGACAGAACTCTTAAGAGTTCCATAATGCAGAGTCTAGTCGAAAATAAAAAGAAAATGAGTATGAATTCATTAACTTGAAAAAAATTTTTTCACTATAATGTTCAAATTATTCATTTCCTTTTTTTTTTTTTTTTAAGATGAGGTTTTACCATGTTGGTCAGGCTGGTCTTGAACTCCCAACCTCAGGTGATCTGCCCACCTTGGCCTCCAAAGTGCTTGGATTACAGGTGTGAGCCACGACGCCCAGCCCTTACTCATTTCCTAAAACCTTAAAAGAAATTAATGAAAAAACTAATGCCTTAAAAAAAATCACGGGTGGCGGTCGTGCATGCCTATAGTCCCAGCTACTCGAGAGGCTGAGGTGGGAGGATTGCTTGAGCACGGGAGTTCTGGGCTGTATGCGCTATGCTGACTGGCTGTCCGCACCAAGTTTGGCATCAATATGGTGACCTCCCAGGAGCTGGGGACCATCAGGTTGCCTAAGGAGGGGTGAACCGGCCCAGGTCAGAAATGGAGCAGGTCAAAACTCCCGTGCTGATGAGTAGTGGGATCACGCCTGTGAAGAGCCACTGCACTCCAGCCTGGGCAACACAGCGAGACCCTCATCTCTAAAAAATAAAAAATAATCAACTCTAGATAGCTTAAGGAAAAAAAAAAGTGGGGGGGAACTTCTAAAGAAAAAAATAAAAATAAGGTCACAGCCAGACAATATCTGATATGGTTTGGCTCTGGTCCCCACCCAAATCTCATGTTGATTTGCAATTCCCAGTGTCGGAGGAGGGGCCTGGTGGTAGGTGACTGAATCATTGCTGTTCCTGTGATAGTGTTCTCACAAAATTTGGTTGTTTGAAAGTGTGTAGCACCTCCCCCTTCACTCTCTCTCTCCTGCTCCAGCCAGGTAGGATGTGCCAGCTTCCCCTTCACCTTCCTCCATGATTGTAAGTTTCCTGAGGCCTCCCTAGCCATGCTTCCTGTACAGCTTGTGGAACCGTGCAAACCTCCGTTCTTTATAAGTTACCCAGTCTTACTCAGGTAGTTCTTTTATAGCAATGTGAGAAAGGACTAATACAATAAACCTACCAAATATATATCACATGGACTTTACCAAACCATTTTTTTTCAAATACTGAATCTTTTTGAGTAAGCCTATTTAGTAAAAGTCAATGGTGGCATATTAGATGTTGGAATAAAAAACATCCTTATAAAGAAAAAAAGAGTCGACATTCAAGTTTTAACAAAGTACAATGTAGGGAAATAAACCACACTCGGGAAAAAAAATGGGAAAAAGGAAGGAGGGAGGGAGGGATAGAGGTGGGAGAGGAAGAGAGACGGGGAGGGAAGAAAGAAAGGGAGGAGAGTTTTATCCTATTAATCTAGATTAAAACCCAAGAAATCTGCAAGTGCTTTCTGAATATACCATCTAAGGAGAAAATTTTAAATGGGCTGTTAACAACAACCTTAGTTTCATCAGCTGCTGAGAGGTTGGGGGAAGGAGTACAAATCATTTCTAAACAGTAAATTACCTTGAAAGATCCTGGTTCTGGTGAGAGCACCTCCAAAGAAGCATTCGAACTTCTGCTCCCAGGGCGTGTTCTTGAATTTGAGGCTGGTTTTGAAATTCCATCTAGGTTTCCCTTTATAATATCCATCGAAATCCTGCATCAACAAATAAAAAATTTAATACCAAGTGATTTAGATATTTAAATTTTTCATTAGTTAGTGTTAATATCCAATTACTCAGAGGCTTTGTTTTAAAGATTATGTTGCTGTTGAAGTCACACTTAAGAGTTCCCCAGTTTCACCAAAAGACATCTTGTGTACATGGATTATTAAACCTTATGCCACAGTATACAGAAAATATATTGCCCAGAATGTTAGATACTGAGTATGGCTAAAAGATAATGCAGAAGTAAATGCCATCTTGGTTGCTTCCTGTGCCTCTAGGAAAAACATTTACTGTGTCCCTAAACTTCCCTGAGTGAACACTCAGGGACACCCCGTCTCTCAAGCAAGATGCACTTCATCTTAATGGTTTCCTAAGGCCCTCCTGCTACCTGCTTGCTTTTTTTTTTTTCTTTTTTTTTTTTTTTTTTTTTTTTTTT